GCAGTGTCACTGGCCCTCATATGTGGGATCCGAACCGGGGCCCTCTGGTGTCCCAAGCCAGCTCTTAACCAACGCGCCACTCGGCCGGCCCTGTTAGCGACTTTTCTATTGAAACTGTGGCTGAATTTGAAAACATGTAGGACCATCTTTCTAAAATAAACATGTATTATCCCTTTCTTCACAGCTCTATCCGAGTCACCATCTCAAGACTCTTTAGATGCGTTCATGTCAGAAATGAAATCAGGGAGTGCCTTAGATGGTGTGTCCCGGAAGAAACTTCACCTGAGAACTTTTGAACTGAGGAAAGAACAACAGAGACTTAAAGGGCTGATAAAAATTGTCAAGCCAGCAGAGATTCCGGAACTAAAAAAGTAAGTCTTAGTTATATTTGGAAGTTTATTAAATGTTTTTTTCCTGTGCAATCACTATTTGTTTAAAAAATGTTTTTATTTTTCAATTACAGTTGACATACAATATTATATTAGTTTTAGGTGTATAACATAGTGATTAGACATTTATGTAAACTACAAAGTGATCACTTTAATATACACTTGGAATTTTAAGTAAGCATGTTTCATAGATAACATTTTGAATTATATCTTTACCTTCTTAGATAATCATTTTTGAATAGAAATAGAATATAAAAAACCCTTTAAAGCACACAAGACAGTGATTGCATGGAGTAACTAGAAACCCATTTAATCTGTGAAATATAGACTACTACAGGACTTTTAGAGAAAACTACATTGATTCCTCTTTCGTTGGAAGGCTCTGAATTTTTTACTTTACCTTTTAGTGCAGGATAAACTTTTTAAAAAAGCAACATATGCAAAAGGCTAATTTCCCTAAGATATAAAGACCAATGTAAGTAGACAATCATCCACCCAAGAGAAAAATGGGCAAAGGATGTCAACTGACAGTCCACTGAAAAAGAAATACTAATAGCTCTTAATTACATAAAAAGATGCTCAACCTCATGCATAAGTGAAATACGAATACTACAGTGTAATGCCATTTTCATATATGATTTTAAAACCACAGATGAAAAATATGAGTGCAAATTGTCATTTTAACACCTGTATCTGTCATTCCTAAGAACCAGTTGACAGCTCTTTAAAATACTTTTTCTAAAGTGTGATTTCTTCCTTTAAAAAGGGAGAAAGCATAATCCTCTGCAGTTGATTCTAAATGTTAACTTTGATATTTGGGAAATTATTGGAGGAAATTAACCCGACTCCTTTTGTAGACATCTAGAAGATTTTTGAGTAATTTGTAAATGAGGTTTTGAGACTAATTTTTCTTAGACTTGCTAGTATTTATGAGTGAGTGAGTGAGTGAGTGTGTGTGTGTGTGTGTGTGTGTGTGTG